CTTTCTCCCCTTTGATCCTCAAAACAGCTCTGTGAGCAGGTACTACCTAGCTAATGCTTTGCTCATAAAAGGTCGGACAATGAGGCGAGAGTGGATTCATATCAAGTCAAGACTGGATTCTGGGTCTCCTCCCTCTAAGATCCCTCCTGGTGTCTCCAGCACACGAGGAGGGGCGGAGGGCCCTGGGGTTGTGAGGGGGTGTTCCAGCGGGAGTCACCTGTGGCTGAGATGAACTTGTTATAGTTCTCATAGACCAGAGTCTGCATGTCGCTGTCTAGAGCCCGGATCTGTCGCACCATGTCCGTCTCACAGTCCATCAGCTGGGCCAGGGGGCACTCTCTACGCAACTGGAGGAAATTGGGTAGTTAGTGTTCTGGTCAGGGTCCTGGTCCCCTAGCTTTGCCCTTAGCGGCAGGCTTTTGGTGCAAGACAACCCTAATCCCACCCCTGTCAGGAGCCCCAGACAGGGGTCTCTACGTGGCTTAACTCGGCAGTGTTGCGATGCAGCCTGTGTGGGATTTTGTCAGTATTTGAAGCGCTCAGACTCAGCACCGCCCGCGGACGCCCGTCCGCGCCAGGGACACGCCCCCAAGACTCGCCTACGACAACATCTGCCCTGAGACCTGAGCCCCAACGCCTGTCCAAGGCTGCCCACGCCCTCCCCCTGCTGCCCACCAGGCTGGCGGAGGGCCGACCCGGCCGAGAGCGGTCCCGCCTCGGATGAACCCACGTTTCCCGTCTCCCGGTACGGGAGGCCTGACCTAGGGGTGCAAAATACGGGGTGCCTGACGCCCCCCATCACACACCTTGTCCAGATACACTTCCGGGTCGAAGTGCGCCCCGTTGAGATCAGTGGGATCCAGGGGGCCCGGCCCTGCGGGGCGCCCGGCCGCCTCCCCCTCGGAGAGGCCGTAGTAAAGCTTCAGCATCCCGTGCGCCTTCCGCCGACGCTCCGGCGCCTCCGCCTCGGGCCCCTCTGGGGAGTCCCCAGGTCCAGACCCCGGGCCAGGCCCAGCGGCTACCGCCGCCATGGCTTCAACAGCAGCCCACCGGCCTGAGGCTGACAGGAGCACAGGGAGGCGGCACTTCCGGGAGCCATAAAGACGCGGCGGAATCCTGGCAGTCCGGCAGGTGAAACGTCCCCCGCCTGGGTCCTCCAGTCTAGTGTTCCCCCGCACCTTTCCTCTTCGAGCGAAGAGGTTCCGGAGGCATTTGTGGAACTGGTCAGGCTGCTCTCGGGGAGGAAGGGCGTGTCCCGGCGGCGCAGCCCTTACACCCGCAGGCCACGGCCCACGCGCTGGGTGCCCAGAAGCGCTAGGCGCAGCCAGAGACCGTGTAGATGCCTTGGCACCTGAGAACGCGGGCCTGGCAGCTGCCACTGCCCGGTTACCTGGTATCTGGTAACTTTGCCCTGTACATAAACTTTGCCCTGTACCTAGCTTTGCGCTGTACCGTGTCACTGCGAGGACTAATTAATGCATGTACAGTTCGCTGCACGGGGACTCTGGCACAGCGCTTCTCAAGGCCTGGCCTTCTCACATGCATCGATCAGAGTTGCCATCACAGTTACCTGTGGTCTGTTATAAAAGATTCTGGATCCGCCCACACCCAGCTTCTGCTGAAAAAGTCCCCAACTAGTTCTGATGCACTTAAATGGACCATGCTTAGAAGACAGGCTCAGCAGATCCCACTGATGGGATGTGTGGAGCAAGGGGCTGGTGATGTGGAGGATAATTCTCAGGATTCTGATTTGGATGCGATGCCGCGGTTCACCATGATGATGCGCTCTAGAGGATGGTGAAGGACCAGGAATGCAATTGAGGCACAATGAGTTTGATTGGATGAAAAGAGGAAAAAGGGTATCAACGTGGTCCTTAAGACAGTGCTGATGATAGACTTGGGGTGGAAACAACCTTATGTAATTTTTCCTTGACAGGCATCCTGCAGGCCAAACACAGCCCTTCATCTGTTTCCATGATGCCTATTAACTAATAAGAATATGTATATTTAATTTTTAAGTGATTGAATAGGAATGACATTCATCACACAAATAATTTCAGAGCCCCTCCAAAAAAATAATTTCAGTGTCCATTAACAAGAGGTTTTACCAGAACACAGCCATGCCCATTTCCTTACAAGTTATCTAGGCCTACCTTTCCACAACAGCGGGGTTGAGTAGTTCCAAGAGGCCATTTCACTGGAAAAATCGAAAATATTTACTATGCTGTCCAGTACAGAAAAAATGTCCTGACTTCTGAATATATGGGGTTGTTTGAGGTTGTTTAAAAACACACACATGGCCTTCCCTGGTGGCACAGCAGGTTAAGATAGCAATGCAAGCCAGCCGCAGCTGCTTCAGTGTGAGTTCAATCCCTGCTCTGGAGCTGACCCACATGGCGCAGCAGACCTCTCCTGTCTCCCTGCTGCTCCCCTCAGCAGTGCACTTCCTCCATCTGCCTGTTCTGCTCCCCACTCTGTCTCTGGTGAATCCTCTCACCACCCCTGCACCTCTGGCCTGTACCCCAGTTCTGTATGAATAGTTTTAAAAACACACACACAAACACACACACACATGACGATCTCAGCCTAGGAAGCTACAGTGTTAAGAAAATGGAGAGTCCAAAAATTTAGATCTGGTCCAATAGGTCTATCAATTTTAAGGTTGCAGAATGCTATTACGAAAAATTATCCAAATTTCATAAGTAAGGCTGATGAATATCACATGTCCTTCCAGGGTGCCCTGGACAGTTTCTGAAGCCCACCCAAGGATTATTTAACTATTTAACTATTTAACCTGTGACACCATTAGGGAAGGCCCAATTTTATAAATTTTAATAATAGAATTTTTAGTGTTTTAAAAATTATGTACATCTACTGCATGAAGTTGAAGCTAGTGGGTGCCATTAATTTAGCTCTTGAACCACCACAGACTCGTCCTATGAAGCCCTAATAAGGAATTCGTATACTTTCTAGGGAAGCAGAGAGAAGCAAGCTTTATTCAAGAAGGTTAAGAAAGAAGAGAACAAAAGCAGAGACTCCAACTAAGGAGGGTAAAAGTCACCGCTACGGGCCTGTGTCCGCGGATAGTTAAAGCTTTTTTCTCTATTTGAAATCTCATCATCCCATTTTGTGACCTGCTCTGTCTTCCAGCGGCCACACTCTCTGGGCAGATGTACCCATTTTCCCGGCTCTTATTTTAGCGTTTCTCTTTTACACCACCACCCCCAGGTCTCCTAAAATTTACTGTCGCAGTTAGCCTCAACTTTTAACCTAAAGGCCCTCCCTGGCAGTGCAGCGGGTTAGAGCGCAGCACTATGAAGCTATCACAGCCGCTGCAGTTAAAGAGTTCAACCCCTGGCCAGGGAGGGGCCCACTCTCCTGTCTCCCCACTGCACCTCTCAGCAGTGTGTTTTAATCCATCTGCCTGTTCTGCTCCCCACTCTGTCTCTGGGGGATCCTCTCACCCCCCCACCACTGGCCTATACTCCAGTTCTGTATGCATAAAAAAATCTTTTTTTAAAATGTTAACATTAAAATTTAGACTTCTCTGCCTCAGAAGCCTCTTTATCTCCAAAGTCCCTGCCTACACTGTCCCTCAAACTGTCTCATTAACACCCACCCCCGGGGGCTCACAGGGCTGTCCATCTGTGATGGTGTGGGCAGTACTGGTTGCGGTGCGCAACTTGGGATGTTGAACTAGCCTGGGACCTAACTCCCAGGATGAAGTGTGAAGGGAAACGATGGTGGTGTCCGAGTTCCATGTCCAGTCCCTTCCTCTTCCACTGTAGTCCCAGAAGTTGGCGTGCCCTCTCCATCACTTCCAGCTGTTCTGGCTGGGCACAGCTCTGCACTTCTCACCTCTCCCATGGGCGGAGGAAGGGCTTTTCTTCGAGGCACCTGTCCCCGCCCACCCCACAGTCCCAGGTAGACTTGGCTCTTCACAGTGCGCACTCACTCGTGGGCTGTGAAAGCCCACGCCGAGGCCAGCTTTCTGCAAGCCTCGGACGCAGGTGTAAGATGGGATTTACACCGGCAGCCCGGCTTCCTCGTGGGACTCAAATGACTAAGGTGATGGGTGCGCAAGCCCTCAGTGCCAGATGGCGGGAAAGAGGGGACAAGCCTTTGGCATCAAGTCCTGGGCCATCTGGGGAGAGGATGGGAAGTTGGGCTGACCGAGAGAGCTGCTGGGGACCAGTGGTGCCTTCTCTCCCCCTGGCTTCCCCACCTTGAGGGGGCGCAGATATTCGGGACTGGGGTCTGGCTGCTCCAGTGACACACCTGGCTCCTAATCACTCCTCCGCCTAAGGCTTGCTGTGAACCTAGAACGTGCCCCCCCCCCAACTTTCCTGAGTCCCAGTTCTTCAACTGTAGGCTGTGCTCACACTCCTCTCTGGAGTAGAGAGGGGTCAGTGAGGCGCCACATAGAGAGTAAAGCATGTGGGCCCTCCCTGGTGGCGCAGGGGTTAAAGCACAGCACTGTGAAGCTGGCCACAGCCACTGCGGCACGAGCTCAACTCCCAGCCAGGGAGTGACCCACAGGGCACAGCAGAGCCCTCCTGTTTCCCCGCTGCCCCCTCAGCATTGTTTCAGTTGATCCGCCTGTTCTGCTCCCCCTGTCTCTGGTAAATCTCACCCCCACATCTCTGAACTGTGCCCCAGCTCTTGTATGCATACAGAGATAAATCTTAAAAAAATAAAGAGTAAAGTGTGTGGGGTGGGATGGTGAGGGATGCCGTCTCTTCAGACTCGCTAGAAGGCCCTCACTGGTCTCCACAGTCTGTGCCTTTGGCCCACCAGTCTCACCACTCAGAGCCCCCGTCCGCCCCTGAAAAACTGCTGTCCTGGCTGGAACCAGCCTGTGTTCTAGAATCTGTCCCTTTCAATGTCCTCCTGCTGCTAGAACCCCACTGCTCTCCCCAACTGACGCTGGAGCCGCGGGGCAGCAGCTCTCCCTGGACGGGGCCAGCGCTCGGCCGGGCTGAAGCTGTGCGGCTGCCAGCATGCGGTGGCGGGACCGCGTGGCCGTGCTCTTCCTGCCACAGGGCATGATGCTCACTGTGGCCTCCCTGATGCTCTTCTTTATACACCTGTGTGTCTTCATCAGCGACATGCACAACTTCTGCATCACGCACCACTATGACCGCATGAGCTTCCGCTACACCATTGTCCTGATGGTAGGCGGGCCAGGGGCCCGGGGGCTGTGCAGGGAGGCTCGGGGCTGATGGAAGCCCCAGTTGTGCAGGGCCACTCTCCCACTGGAGGGGCTACAGTTCTCCCAGGTGGTCAGCATCTGCTGGGCTGCCATGGGGTCACTCTACGCGGAGATGACAGAAGACAAGTTTCTGCGGTGCTTTGCCCTGACCATTTTGAGTGAGTGAAGGCGCAGAGGTGTGCCCAGGCATAGGGAGAGCTTGGGTACCACGGGGTGAGGGGGGGCAGGGAAGGCTGATGGGGGCTCTCTCTTCTGCCCAGTGCTCAATGGGGCCTTGTTCTTCAAGCGCCTGGCCCTGGACTTTCTGTCCATCCAGTACCGAGAGGAGAACCACTGAGGCCTGGAGACTGGGCCGAGAAGGGGAAAGGAAAAGGCTGCTTCGGGGTTTTAATAAAGTCTCTTGTTTATTTCCACCTGTCAGCTCCCTCATCGGGTGGGGGGATGGAAGGCTAGAGACCCAGGAGATGCCAGTCAAGACAGACGCTTGATCTGCAGGGCCTCCAAGCCCAGTCTGCATCCGCTCGGGACTCGGCTTTAGGTCTGGGCTCTTAGTGTCTCAGGTTGGAAAGAACAGAGGAGCAGGGTCCCCATTTCCCCACCTCCCCTTCTCCGGCCCCAGGTCCTCAGCTGTCCAGACAGAGCAGGGCCTCAGGAGGGGCCCACGCGGATGTGAGGGTTCATGAGCGGGTCCAGGTTGGGGTCGCTGTCAGCCGCAGCCCGGCCCAGGCGAGACATGAGGGCGAGGAGGGCCAGGAAGCCCAGCAGCCCCAGCAGCAGCAGCAGCCCCGCGCGCTGAAGCAGGGTCAGCGGCCGCTTCCGAGACCCCGCCCGGCTCCTGGGGGAGGAGGGAAGTCGGATGAGCCCCCAGCCTGGGTGGCTGCGGCGGCTGGTGAGGAATCCTGGTGCTGCGCATGTTCAGCTCTGGCCCGGAGCACCGTCCCAGAGCCTGGTTGCCCAGTGCACCCTGGAGGGCACCCTGCCCTTTACATAGGGTGACTGTGGCCGACTGTGAGGCCTCTGCTCTTTCCCGGACACCGGAGTATATCAGGCGTGGGCGCAGAGTTCAGGCGGGTCAGGGCAGAAAGGGGCCTGGAAGGGCTGGAGTCGAGACCGCGCCGGCAGCAGGCAGAAACAGCTCCAGAAGGGAGGTCCAGGGACCAAGCCCCGCTCCCTGACAGCGCCCACGCCAGCTGCGTCAGCGCCCAGGTCAAGCCCCGCGGTTGGTCGTGAGATTGCACCGCCCAGGCCTCTCCCCCTTGCTAGCCCGGCCCTGCCCGGCCCTGCCTGCCACTGAGTACCTGAGCAGCTGGGCCAGCCAGCCAAGCGCCGGCCGGCGGCGGTACTTGTCGTCATCACAGTCGCCGTGGAGGCCCGTCGCCCGGTCATCGTCCCGCGTGTCGTACACCTTCCTTGGGGCCGAGGCTGCAGAGACAGACCCACCAGCATCGGGGCTCAGGAAGCGGGAGGGGCAGTGGGGAGGACAGGGGATCCTTGCCCCTCTCGGCCTGCAGAGCATCTCAGAATTGAGGGGGGCTGCATCTGCGCGTGCAGTGGGAAGGGGACTCTAGGCGGGTCTGGACCCCGAGCACCTGTGCTGCCTCACTCTGTTCCTATCCTCCTCCGGCCTGGGCGAGTCCCGGCTCACCGTGAGTCAAGGGCTCGGCACTGCCCATGTGGATCACCATGTGCTGCTCGGGCCGGCTGGGGGAGGAGGGGGGCTGAGGGGCTTGGCTGTAGAAGGCTGGGGCAGCAGAGGCGCTGGCCATCTCCTCTTGTTCGGGGCTGCTGTTGGCTGCGGGCAGGACAGAACTGTCAGCAGCGCAGTGAGGACTGAGCCCGGGACCGCCCAGCGGAGGTGGCCACTTACCAGTAAAGCTGGACCAGTCCGAGAAATCCGAGGTGTTGAGCTCGGGCTCCGGGCTTACCACCTCATCGATCTAGAGGAAGGAACCCGTGTCACCACCTGCTCAGGACTGTCCCCACCCACCCATCTGGCCCAGGTGGACCCAGGGCAGCTGGACGGTTAGAGACTCACCAGAGGAAGGCCCAGTCCTGCCCGGGCCCAGTTGACTGTTGCTAGCTTCTCTCTTAGTGCTGAGGCCACGGGACCAGCCAGGTTGTTAGGGGGGAAGATGGGGCCGTTGCAGCTGGGACACTGATAGCCAGCAGGCGCTGTGTTTCGGGGTAGCTGGGCAGCACGGTCATTGAGGCAGGCCCAGTGGAAGAGATCTTAGGGCCCAGGAAACAGGGGAGGAGAAGCAAGAGGGCACTCAGGGCCCCGAGCCCACCACAGGGATACATGCTCACATAAGTGCAAGCCCAGCACCTGCTCTCTCCCACCCAGGCCCGTCCCTCAGTGTCCCTTAAGACATCAGCCTTCTTGGCCACCCTTATCTATTTCGGTCAAAGAAGAAGCTACCAAGTTCCCCAGTCCACTGGGGCGGGGGTAGGTGAGAAGACGCTACGCAACCTTTCAGCGAGGCCTCACTAGACCTGTACCCATCACAAGCGCCCTGAGCTGATAGCTAATTAAGGACAATTTCCGAAAAGAGTCCCAGAAGTACACACAGGCACACGTATCTGTGGACACACGTGCTTACAGACACAGAACCAAAGACCAGTGCCGCTGCCACGTTACACCTACAGGCCCACTAACACACACGCCCCCTCTCCACCACACCCTTGTCTGCTAAGGCTCAGCACCCTTACCCACACATTCTCCTGAATCTTCACAACACACCTGTTTCCATGTTCACACATGCCCAGTCACTACCACAAGTACTAACGAATGCACTAACTTCCATAAAGACAACACATGTTAAATCCACCACACATGCAGTCTCTTGCAGAAGCACACATCAAGCTGACTCTTGCACCAGCACCCTCAAAAAGGCGCACCAAGGCTCTTTAGTCAGCTCAAGGTCGTGACACATCTACAGACATTTCTAAGCTGACTGACTGTGGGAAACCCACTTTCCAGGAACCTACTTCCCTGAATGTGGGTGTGCCATGCTTTCAGCTCTCTACTGGTCTGGCCAGCAACCGCCACCAGCTGCAACCATACGCACGGCCTGACTGGCTCTTGCTACACCCTCAAAATTGGCAAGAAAGAACTGAGGAACTTTAACTTTTTAGAGAAACACCTGAGACCTAGAAAGGGAACATGATTTGCTGGCGCGCACACAGCAGGCATGTAAACTGGCTGGACTAGATTCTGGGGCTTCAGCTTAGTTTCATACTTGATCACCAGGTGGGGACGTTCCTGATACCCCCCACATGCCTAGGCCTCAGGACGTTCCTGATACCCCCCACATGCCTAGGCCTCACCATAACAGATGAGGCGGGTTGTCTCCCGGTTGGCCAGGGGTGTGTTGCACAGGTGACAGTTGGGATTGTAGTCACTGTCTTGGAGCCACTGCAGGTAGGACTGGACGATACACTGGAGTGGGAGAGCGGACACAGCTGAAGGAGGGGCTCCACAGCCACCTCCCCAAGGCCCAACTGCCTCTCATCACAGAGTGGACTCTCCTTTTGTTAGTTCAACCAATAAATATATTTAAGCACACCCTGTGTGTCAGATTCTGCCTTAAGGGGTGCGATACAACAGGAAACGAAATCTATCAAGTTCTTACTCTCACGGAGCTTCCTTTCTAGTAGGGTGCCTTCATGGATTTGGGGGTAGCCAATGCTGCACGTGTCCCCACCACCACTCCCACCCCCTCCAGTACCACGTTCTCCCGTGGGCCCCACCTTGGCGTGATTGGCCACCAGGCAATGCTCACAGACGTTGACCCGGTGTTCGAAGCAGAACAGATTGGTCACCTTCCTCTTGGGGCACTTGCAAAGCCCCATGGTCGACCCTAGGGAAGGGACCTGTGTTGGTAGGGTGCTAGGTTCTGGCGCAGCCAGAACTGGGCACCAACCTAGTTCATGTTCACTTGTAGTTAACTTCCAGAGACATCCTTCACTTTTGCCGCAAACCCAAATTCCTGCCCACAGCGGGTCTCCACTTCGGGCCTCGCCCTGCGTAACCCCCGCCTCTGGAGACCCTCCATTTCGACCCGATTCCGTCCCCGTCAGCCAGCAGCGGTTACCCCAAAACACCGGCCCCGCCCCCAGGGTACCTCCTGAGCCCCACCCCCTCCCAGCCCCGCCCCACTTTCTTCACCGACCCCCTCAGCAGGTTACTGATCGGGTGCGGCACCGGTCCTGCCGGGCACGAGCGCTGACCCAAAGCGCGGAAGGGCAGACGCCGCGCTCAGTCGAGCTACGCTCCGCTTCCAGCTCCAGCCGCTCCGATTATCCCTCCGCTGCCACGTCTCTTCCGGGTGCGGCGCGCGCTGATGACGCATCGCGGCCCTGGCCCCGCCCCGCTGACGCTAGACGAGAAGACGGGCGAAGCCGGCCCGGCCGCCCTCCTGTACGTCACTTCCGCTTCCTCGCCAGCAGGGCGGGTAATTCGAACGTTGCTGCGGTACTCGGTCCTCTTCCGAGGCGCGAGCCCCGCGGCGGCGGCGGCGGCGGCGGCGGCAGCGGCGGCGGCTACGGCTGCGGAGATCGAGACCCAGGCTGGCGATGTCGCGGAGGCGAACGCGGTCCGGAGGGGCCGTCCGGCGCTCGGGTGAGTCGAGGGCGCGAGGGAGCCGCCGGGCCGAGCCGTTTGCAGGACTCGGTCCCTCGAGGACGGCCCCTCCCCCCACCGCCCGAGGAGACTCGTCTGCCCTGGCGGGGCGCCCCCAAAGGGCCTATTTGGGAACTTTCCCTCTCCAGAAATTTGACCTCTACACTCTTGGGGTCTGAAACTCCTATCGCCTACCTGTTGTCTGTTTCTAGAGCCCAAGGGCCCATCTCCTAAGTCTCTGCGGAAGTCCCAGCGCAAATCAGACTCTGGTGTCGCGGGCATCCTCCCTGATATCTGTCCCAAGGTAAGCCCCGGCCCCTCAGGCCTGTCCCCGAGGCCACTCACTGAGGTAGCACTCATGTTCGCCCCTCTTCTCCAGGCCCCCCAGGCTGCTCCAGTGAGAAAGCCCATCGTCTTAAAGAAGATCGTGGCGAGTGCTTTAAAGGTGATGGCTGCGGGAGGGTTGGTGGGTGGGGGGCCGAACTTGGGGGCCAGCTTTGTGACCCGTTCATGTTTCCACAGATCTCACCAGTCCAGTCATTGCGTAGGAGCCCTCGGGTGAGTTCGTTTTCGTCTGCTTAGTCGAGTGGTCTTCAGGGCGCCCTAGGGCTGGGGCGGGGCATGCTGGCTGTCTGCGCGCTTGTGTGTCCTGCCTACTTCTTGAAGGCTTAACGTGTTTACATCTCGCTGCTCTGCTGTCCGCCATCATTTTCCTTTAACAGTGCAGCTGAATCCAAACTACTCTTTCTTCCTATTCCACGTTGTGTTCGGTTGTTATTCATGGTTGAAAATTCACTGGTACTAGTGACTGGATGGACGTTTCAGGAAACTCATTGCTGACTGTCACAAGGGGACCATAGAGCAAGAGTAGAAGCAGGAGGAGGAGTGGTTGAGGCTGGGGTCTGTTTTAGATGGTTGGTTATGGGCCTTGCATCAGCTAGTGGGGTGACAAATTTTGTGCCGCAAAACAGAGTCCTCAAAGGCAATGGCGGTTCCCTCCTCTTCCCACATGTGTCTTGGGTTCTTTGTGAACTGCATCCCCCTTTCCTTTAAAAATACCTGTCCTGGAGCACCCCTGGTGGCGCAGGGGTTAAAGTATCAGTACCATCAAGCCATCCCCAGCCACTGAGGCCTAAATTCGATCTGGCCAGGGAGGGACCCCAAGGGCGCAGCAGACTTCTCCAGTCTCCCTGCTGCTCCCCTCAGCAGTGGGTTTCAGTCAGGCTACCTGTTCTGCTCCCCGCTCTGTCTCTGGGGAATCCTCTCACCCTCCATACCTCTGGCCTGCACCTCAGCTCTTAATATGCATAAATGAAAATAAATAATTAAAAAAATAAAGTAAAGGTGCCTGTCCTATGGGTGTTTCTTTCAACTGTAGATCTGAGCCTTCCGTAGCAGCAGTACAGCTGAGTGACGCACTGCTCTCTTTGCTCCTGCACAGATTGCCCTTTGCTCAGAGAAGGAAAATCACCCTCCTGTCAAGGAAGCCACTAGGGGAAACAGCTTCAGGACACATAATGTCCCTGTCACCCCCACCTCATCTCCTGTGCTGTGGACCTTCAATGTTGAATCCAGCTCCAGGGATGGAGACCTAGATGCCAGAGACTTGGAAATGTCTAAAAAAGTCAGACGATCCTATAGCCGGCTGGAGACCCCAGCCCCCAGCTCCACGTCCACCTCCACCCCTGGCCGCCGGTCCTGCTTTGGTTTTGACAGGCTGCTCGGGGCAGAAGAGTTGACCGGAGTCTCACCTGTGGTGTGTGCAAAGCTAACTGAGGCCCCCAGGGTCCCTGAGAAGCCCTGGGTCCCAGACACGACTCTTCCTGGAATCTCTCCCCCAACTGTGAAAGAGAAAAGAAAGAAGAAGAAGCTGCCGGAGGTCCTGGTGAGTGAGGGGCAGGGGCTCCCTCTGCTGATGCGCTGACAGGCAGGGCTGGGGATCAAGGCTGACTGTTTTGGGGGAACGGTAGCACCTGTGTGTGTGGGTAGAGATGCTCTAGGCCACGCGACCCCCTCTCCACTCACCCCCCATTTCTCTTCCCCCAGAAATCAGAGCTGGATGAATGGGCTGCGGCCATGAATGCTGAGTTTGAAGCTGCTGAACAGTTTGAGCTCCTTGTTGAATGAGATGAAGTGAGGTGCACCTGGCCAAGCCCCTCCACCTCCCCCTGGCCATAGCTCCTCTCCCTGTGAAGGACTTTTGGGGCTCCTCCCTTGTGCATGAGCTGTTACTGCATTGAGGCCTGTCCTCAGCTTCAGGAAAAGGGGCTCTCCTAGCTCTGCCACACACAGCGCCCTGAGGTTGGCATCTCTACCCACTCACACACTCACCTCCCTCCTCCCACACTCTTGCAGCCGTTCCCAGTTGGGCTCCGGCGCAGGAGCAGGGGCTCTGGGCCGGGAGTCCTGCCCTGCTGGGAACGCGGCCTTGCGCTTGCCTCCGTGCTGCCTCCCTTCGCGGCTTGGTTCCAGCACGAAGCCCACCTTGGGGCTCAGGTTCTCCAGGTGTCCTGGCGAGTCTGTGGATGGAGGAGGATGCAGGCGCTCAGCCTGCGGTCTGGCTGTGAAGGAAGGCGGGAAGCCAGGCTGGGGCCCGCCTCGTTCCGCCACGTGGAAGCTGTGCTGTGTGGCTGTGTTCTGCTGTTGGGGTGTTCAGTGAGGTGCCAGGCTGGGCTTGCTGCTTGGGGCACAGGGTGCATTTCAGGGTGACCCCACGAAACCCGAGGCTCAGGGCGGCATAGGGCTAGGGCCTTGCCACGACACTTCAGGCTAGGGATGTCTCCACCTCACCCCGTCCCTCACGCCTGTCTTACAAAGTAAACGCTGTCAGCTCAACTTCGAAGAAAAATGTGGGCCGAAGGGTCCTGCCCCATCTAGTGTTTTGCAGCTGCGTTGGTAAAGTTCTAGAAAGTTTTTCTCAAATACTGGGGTGGGGGCAGGGTAGATAGAGGTTTGACCTTTTAGCTCCGTGTCCTCTCCGTGAGAGCTGCACTGAGCCCGCGATGCACCGTCCCAGGGACCCTTCCCCGCATTTACGTTGCTCGGTTCTCTAGAGGCTCCAAACGGTCCGCAGCAGCCCGCACGTCCCGGCTCCGGGGCTGCAGAAGGGCTGTGGCGCAGGGCGCGTCCTGAGTGGGGGCTTCGGGGACATCGGCTGCGCGGTGCAGGCTGGTGGGCTCCCGCTTTGGACTCTGTGAGGCGCGAGTCGGCCGCCTGCCCTGGTGGCCCGCGCGCCTGAGCAGCTTTGTCCTGGGCACGGGCGGTGGGAGTCTTGATTCTGCAGAATCTGGAGCAGCCTGATGGTGTTGACTTGATGTTATTGCTGTAAATTCTGTCCCCCAAAACTTAAGGATGTGGAGTTTTAAGGGAAAGTTATGGTTTCTTCTTAATGCAAACTGATTAAAGAGTTTCTTCGTGTTTCCACATTGTGTGTCTTGTATTGGTCAAAGGTGCAGGGTGGGGCTAGACCCAGGAGCTCAGGCCTCTTAATGTCCTTTGGGTGGGGGTAGCCCGTGGGAACTCGTGCCCTGCCCCCATCTTCTCTGTGCCGTAGCCCGCCTCTGCTTCAAGGGCAGGAGTCCCCCTCCCCTCCTGGTCTGGAAAGGTCTGAGGTAGCTGGCCTCTGCTTCAAGGGCAGGAGTCCCCCTCCCCTCCTGGTCTGGAAAGGTCTGAGGGGGGCTGCCCAGACTCAGTGCCTGCCAGCCAGCACCTCCATACCTCAAATCCTCACTGGTCTGGACTGGGTGCCGGGAATAGCCGTGGGTGTAGAGCCCGCTGGGGAGGGAGGTAGAAATGCAGATTCCCAGGATTCTCACCTGAGGACGGGCCTCGGGCCGCCCGCCGCAGTGCCGCACTCCTGTCCCTGCCCCTGTCTCCGCTTTACACTTGGCTGGGCCTCCTTGTCCTAGAACAAATGCAGGACTGCACGCTCTCGTCTCCCTAAACACACCCAGCGTGACCTCCTCCCCACCCAGATAGCAATGCCCACTTCCCAAGACCAAGCTTTACACTTGGACTTAATATCCAGCTCACTCAGCTCACACCTCTTCCTAAACAGTTTATTTCACTATTAAAACCCACCACCAGTTGGGCCTCTGGCGCTGCAGGGGTTAAAGCCTCGACACTATAAAGCTGTGGCAGCCACTGCAGCATGAGTTCGACCCCTAGATCCAGGTCAGGGTGCCGCAAACCCCTGCTTGTCTCCCTGCTACCCCCCTCAGCAGTGGATTTCAGTCCACCTGCCTGTTCTGCCCCCTACTTTGTCTCTGATGAGTCCTCTCACCCTGGCACCTCTGGCCTGCACCCCAGCCTGGGCCAGCTGGCAGAGATGCCAGCAGCACATGGCACAGGAGGGGCTTACACTGCTGGATGAGCTGACTTAGATGACATGTCAGTCAGGATACAGTTCTAGATTCTGGTTGGTGCTCGAGGGAAGGGTCAGAGATGAGGACCAACAAGTCTCAAGCAAGGAGGTGGCCTGGAGAGCAATGTTCGGGAGGATGCCCGATGGGGCCTGGGGCCTGACCTGTCTGAGGAAGCTGAAAAAGCAGGACCAGCTGTGTGGTGGCCCATAGGTGCATCGGGCCCAGGCTGCGGAGATGTCAGCATCACGCTGGGCGTTGCTGGTCACTGGAGTGACAAGGCACCCAGAGTAAGTGGGAAGCAGAAAACAACCTTACACATTCTTTCAAGTTTAACCTAGAAAGGAGCAGAGCAGTAGTTAAAAAACAGCCAGTGAGGGTTTCTGGTGGTGGTTTTATTTTTTAAGGATTTTATTTACACATAAATAAATCTTATAAAAAAAAAAAACCAGCAGCTTCTTTAAAAACTATTTGTCTATGCATACAAGAACTAGGGTATAGGCCAGAGGTTTGGAGGTAAGAGGATCCATCAGAGACAGAGTGGGGAACAGAACAGGCAGATCAATGAAGTGCACTGCTGAGGGGAGCAGCAGGCAAGATAGGTCTGCGCTTTAACCCGTTTCTAAGGGTCCTAATCCCCCACCTTTCTAAGCTCTCACCACAGCCAGGATGCATTTCCTGAAAGGCAAGTTATGGTCCTATTTAAAAATCTCTAGCCACTATGGTACCCCTGCTTAAAACCCTTTACTACATTTCATCTTCTGGGGAATTGATCCAAAAGAATTGAAAGCATCGGCTCAGATATGTGTATATCTAGCACTACTCACAACAGCCACATGGTGGAAACACAAGCATTCATCTGCAGTTGAATGGATAAACAAAACCAGTATACTTATCCCATGGAATATTATGTAGCTGTGAAAAGGAGGAATGTTCTGATTCAAGCTACCACATAGCTTGAAAACAGGTAAATGAGGCGAGCCAGTGGCAAAGGACAATGCTGTATGCTTCCACTCGTGATTATGATCATGCCTTCTACCTAACCAAGTCCACAAAGATGGAAGGAAGAAAGGTGGTGGCCAAGGTAGAGACAGTAGGGAGATTGGTGGGAGCAGTTTCAGTTAGGAAAATACTGCCCTGGCATGGGGTGGCGACGGCTGCCTGCTAACGTGAATGTACTTGAAGGCACTGAGCTGCATGCTTAAAATGGGAAATTGTGTTACACATTTTGCCACAATAAATACTTTTTTCTAAAAACCCTTTGGCGATTTCATGTTGTCTGTGATGTGGTCGGTAATGGGGTTTGGGTTGCCCAGCTTCTCAGCCTCCAGAAGTCAGCTGGCTGCGGGACCCCCTCTCCCTCTGGGAGCCATAGGGTGGCCATACTCTTGCATCCCCCATCCTGCAAATGGGTGTGGACCTCCTGGTCAGATTCCCACCTGGAGCAGGACCCTGAAAGAGGGAGAGAGACCTGAAAGATTCAGCCCCGCGGTTGTGGGGGACACAGGGATGAGCCCCGTGGCGCTCCCTGCCTTTGAACCTGTTGCTCCTGGGCCTCCTGCTATGCCGGTCTCTTTCCAACTTTCCAATTAAACGTCCGCTCCAGCGCGGGGTTCTTTTTCTCTGTGTTTGCGGTCCAGACTCCCTGGCATCTCTCCACCACCAGGCTGCTGGCCACGCCCCCAGCCTTAAAGCCCCCTGAGCCCTTTGCGCTGTAGAGGTTCTGCCTTCGCGATTTTGCTCCTTCCACTTTACTCTCTTCCTTCTCTTTGGGCTGTCCCCGGCCTCGCCTCACGGTCCTGCCTCTCTGTAGTCACTTGTCCTCTCGTGGCCCCGCCATAGCTGTTTCTGAGTGACGCCGCCCTTACAGCCCGCCCCCAGGCGCGGGTGCGCACTCTAAGCCCGCCAGCACCATGCTCCCGCCACACCGTGCCCCGTGTTCATCAGTTGGCTGCCCGTGCCCGCCTGTGGGTAAGAGCAGATGCTAGCACCCAAGGGGATTTGTGTCCTGGAACTGCCAGTATCTAGCTGTGTGGCCAGTTAATTATCCGCCGTGTTATTTGTAAAATGGGAAGACTGCAGTGTCTGCCTCAGTATCCCAAGGAGAGGGGCGAACAAGTCACCCCAGGTAGAGCAGACCTCTCCTCCTTTGACTCCTGCACACACCCCTATTGCTGCACCCCAGCTGTCATCTGGGGGTTCAGCACACGCGTTTGTCCCATAATCTCAGCTCCCAGAGAGTGGGCAGACTCAGCTGTGTCTCTGCCACCCACATGGAGGCAAGTTTGTGGGCCAGGTTATGGCGGAGGAAATACTTCTGTCCTTTTCCCTAATAAACCTACTCTTTAAATATTACCTTAGTCTCTGTCTCGTGGAGAAACTCGCCACCTGCCGCTGAAAGGGGAGCTCTGGTGAATCTTTCCCAGAGTGAGCCCAAGGACCCCGAACTCCAAAAAACTGACATCGCTCACACTTGCAGCTCCCTGGGCCGCAGACCGAACCCCGTGACAGCGCCCGGCCCCCGGTAGCCTTGCCGGGTAGCAGTAGCTGGGCTCTGGCTCCCCTGTGGGCCCATCTGGTCAGGTGGACATGGTGGCTAAGCACAGTGGGGGCTGAGTTCTGATCCGCTGGGGGGGCGAGGGTGCAGGGTGAAGCCAGGAGTAGCACACAGCAGGGCGCAGTTCAGGTTGGTGTGGGGGAGTGAGGCCCCTGGCTGGTCTGAGCAGAGGCTTGTGCTAGGACTGGAAATCCAGGACGCTGGAAACTCAGAGAACGGAATGTCAGACACCTTGCTTTCAATAAGCTTCTCATAGGTGATCTCTAACCAACTGGGGATCCTCCACTGACTCAGGCCGTCACAGACCTCCCTCAGCAGTGCTGGTGTGCCCCCAGCCCCCACATTCTGCAATTGAAGGGATTCAGCTTAAGGGCGACTGTATGGGGTGGGCCTCCCTGGTGGTGCAAGCAGTTAGTCTCTGCACTGCCGAGCTGAACCTGTCCATAGTCATGGCAGCAAGTCCACT